CTCTCTCTCTCTCTCTCTCTCTCTCTCCCCCTCTCTCTCTCTTATTCTCCCTCTCCTTTTCTTTTTTCATTTTTTACTTTCTCCTCGTTTCCCCATCTTTTGAAAACCTCTCCTCCCTCTCGCACAGGAGAAGGAGGAGGAGGAGGAGGAGGACGGAGATAAACAACCCCGAATAAAAGATACATAGAATCATTTGTTTCGAAGTAGCAAACACACGCCCACGATCCCCAAAAAAAGGGAAATGTGTTGCCGGAGGAATAATAGATGTGTCTGTATGTTTGTTTCCCTCCTCGTCAGAAGCTGAGACAGAGAGAGGAATAGCCGTTCAGATCCTGAGGGGGGGGGGCTACTCAAGAGGAGGGGAAGGGGGGGAGGGAGGGAAGGAGGGGAGGGGGGAAAGGGGGGAAGGGGGGGAAGGAGGAGGGAATGGGAAGGAGGGGGAGGGGAGGAAGGAGGGGGGAGAGGGGGAAGGAGGGGTTCTACTGGATCGTACGAAAATCTGGCGATATATATAGATATAGATAGATAGATAAATTAAGAAGGAGAGATAGATAGATAGATAGATAGATTAGATAGATAGATAGAGAGAGAGAGAGAGAGAGAGAGAGAGAGAGAGAGAAGATTAAGAAGAGAGATAGAGAAAGAGAGAGAGAGAGAGAAGAGAGAGAAGAGAGAGAAGAGAGAGAAAGAGAAAGAAGAAAGAAAGAGAAGAGAAAGAGAAAGAGAAAGAGAGAGAGAGAGAGAGAGAGAGAGAGAGAGAGAGAGAGAGAGAGAGAGAAGAGGAGAGAAGAGAGAGAGAGAGAGAGAGACTGACTTATCTGATGTGGGTTGTGTGTGTGTCTATCACGCAAAATTTGATTTTAGATAAACAACTAAATCATACTAAATATGATGATAATGGTTTTGATAATTCTAATAATGATAATGAACACGAAGATGAAAGTAGTAGTAGTAGTACTATATTTCAACAAAGGTTAAACAAACAAAGCTAAGCAAAGATAAGAACTTTAAAAATAACCTTCCATAATAGTTTTATTTTTAATAATTCTTCTAATTTATATCTACAAATTTACCCGTTCATTATAAATTAGAGATGCATCAATATATCCATATATATCTTTTTATATCTATACATTAATCAGTTTATCTATCTATTCAGCTATTTACAGATACAGTATATTTAGATATCTATACACATAGATATCAGACAGATATTTCCATTTCACTTTCTTTTTATTTACCTATTGATTCGTCTATCAATATATCACTCTATCCATTCATCCTTTTATCAGAATTAATCTTCTCTTCACTTATCCTCCCTTTCCTTCTTTGTTCCCACGGTCAGCCTTTTGTTCCCACGGTCGCCTATTTCTTCCCACGCCCGCAGAGATAGCTCTTCCATTGTCTTTCTTTCCTTTTCATCTAATTTTTCCTTCCTTCTTTCCATTTCATTTATTATTCTATATATTAAGATATCTATCAAAATCCCTAAGTTGTATATTCCTTCTTTATTTCTCTCTTTCTCTCCAGTTTTCCCACGGTGGACATTTCGTTCCCACGGTAGCTTTTTTCTTCCCATGGCCGCAGAGAACATTCTTCCATCCTCTTTTTTCCTTCTTTTCCTTCCATTCCATCCCATATCCGATCTCTACTAATCCATATATATAATTTCTCTATTCCTCTTTCTCTCCAGCTTTCCCACGGTGGCCATTTCGTTCCCACGGCAATCTTCCTTCCTCTTTTTTCCTTCTTTCCTTCCATTCATCATCCCTTATACGAACTCTACTAATCCATATATATAATTTCTCTATTCCTCTTTTATCTTTCTCTTTCTCTCCAGTTTTCCCACGGTGGCCATTTCGTTCCACGGTAGCCTTTTTCTTCCCATGGCCGCAGAGAACGCTCTTCCATCCTCTTTTTTCCTTCTTTTCCTTCCATTCCATCCCACATACGATCTCTACTAATCCATATATATAATTTCTCTATTCCTCTTTTATTTTCCTCTTTCTCTCCAGTTTTCCCACGGTGGCCATTTCGTTCCCACGGTAATCTTCCATCCTCTTTTTTTCCTTCTTTTCTTTCCATTCCATCCCACATACGAACTCTACTAATCCATATATATAATATCTCTATTCCTCTCTTTATCTTTCTCTTCTCTCCAGTTTCCACGGTGGCCCAATTTTGTTCCCACGGTAGCTTTTTTCTCCCAGAGAAAGCTCCTCCATCCTTTTTTCCCTTCTTTTCCTTCCATTCCATCCCACATACGATCTCTACTAATCCATAATATAATTCTCTATTCCTCTTTTATCTTTCTCTTTCTCTCCAGTTTTCCCACGGTGGACATTTCGTTCCCACGGTAATCTTCCATCTCTTTTTTCCTTCTTTTCCTTTCCATTCCATCCCCACATACGATCTCTACTAATCCATATATATAATTTCTCTATTCCTCTTTTATTTTCCTCTTTCTCTCCAGTTTTCCCACGGTGGCCAATTCGTTCCCACGGTAGTCTTTTTCTTCCCATGGCCGCAGAGACCGCTCTTCCATCCTCCTTTTCCTTCCATTCCATCCCATATACGAACTTTACTAATCCATACACATAATTTTTCTATTCCTCTTTTATTTTTCTCTTTCTCTCCAGTTTTCCCACGGTGGCCAATTCGTTCCCACGGTGGCCCTTTCGTTCCCACGGTCGCGTCTGACACTAACCTGCGACGTCTGGGATCAGCGTGTCTGAGGCCATTGTCATCCTGTGCTTGATTCTCACTCCCTTCTTTTCTCTTTCTTTTCTCTTCTCTTCTGGTTCGCGTTTCTCTGGATTGTTTTTGTGTTCCTTTTATCCTGATTTCTTTTATAATTTGTATGTTTTTTTATTTTTATTTTTTTTTTTTTTTTTTTTGTATCTGAAGATATTCATTTATTTGGTATTATTTAGAATTCTAATTTATGTTTTATTTTCCGTCTTCACTTTTTTTCTTTCTTTTTTTGAGAGGGGGTGGGGTGGGGGCGATGACCATTTCATCCATCTCACACATCCACCCACTTACAAACTCACCCACCTCATCCTTCTCACTCATTCACTCACCCACCTCATCTTTACCTCACCCACCTACCTCATCAATTTCATCCATCTCACTCATTCACTCACTCACTAACTCACCACTCATCCACTTCACCCAATCTCCCTCATTCACTTCACCAACTACCCACCTCATCCACAAATCTCCCTCATTCACAACTCACCCACCCTCATCCATCTCCTCATTCACTCACTGACTCACCCACCTCATCCACTCATCCACTAATCTCCCTCATTCACTCACCAACTCACCCACCTCATCCACTCATCCTTCTCCCTCATTCACTCATTCACTAACTCACCCACCTCATCCATCTCCCTCATTCACTCACTGACTCCACCCACCTCATCCACTCATCCTTCTCCCTCATTCACTTCACTAACTCAACCCACACTCATCCACTCATCTTCTCCCTCATTCACTCACTAACTCACCCACCTCATCCACTCATCCATCTCCCTCATTCACTCACTAACTCACCCACCTCATCCACAAATCTCCCTCATTCACTAACTCACCCACCCTCATCACAAATCTCCCCTCCTATTTCTCATCCACTCATCCTTCTCCCTCATTCACTAACTCACCCACCTCATCCACTCATCCGGCGATAAGGCCCCATAATTTCATTAATCTCCCTCATCCACTCATCCATCTCCCTCATTCACTAACTCACCCACCTCATCCACTCATCCAATCTCCCTCATTTCACTCACTCACTAACTCACCTCATTCACTAACTCATCCTCCACCTCACCCACTCATCCATCTCCCTCATTCCTCATTCACTAACTCACCCACCTTCATCCACTCATCCTTCTCCCTCATTTCAGCGCACTAACTCACCCACCTCATCCACCATCCATTCTCCTCATTCAACTCACTAACTCACCCACCTATCCACTCAATCCTTCTCCTCTTCATTCCACTCACTAATCTCACCCACCATCATCCCACTCATCCTTCTCCCTCATTCACTCACCAATTCACCCACCTCATCCACTAATCTCCCTCACTCACTAACTCACCACCTCATCCACTCATCCGGCGATAAGGCCACCATGATTTCATTAATCTCCCCTCATCACTAACTCATCCACCTCATCCACTCATCCTTCTCCCTCATATCAACTAACTCACCCACCTCATCCACTTCATCCATCTTCCCTCATTCACTCACTAACTCACCCACCTCATTCTCATCTCCCTCATTCACCACTACTCAGCCACCTCATCCATCTCCCCTCATTCACTCACTGACTCACCCACCTCATCCACTCATCCTTCTCCCTTCATTTTCACTCACTAACTCACCCACTCATCCACTCATCCTTCTCCCTCATCACTCACTAACTCACCCACCTCATCCACCTCATCCATCTCCCTCATTCACTCAACCTAACTCACCCACCTCATCACAAAATCTCCCTCATTACTAACTCACCCCACCTCAATCCACAAATCTCCCTCATTCACTAAACGTCACCACCTGCATCAGCTTCATACGGGCGATAAGGCCCCATAATTTCATTAATCTCCCTCATTCACTTCATCCATCTCCCTCACTCACCTAACTCACCCACCATCATCCACTTAAATCTCCTCATTCACTAACTCATCCACTTCATCACCCCTCATTTCACTCACTACTCACCCACCTCATCCACTCATCACTAATCTCCTCATCACTAACTCACCCACCTCCACTCCCCATCTTCCCTCATTCACTCATTCAACTAACTCAACCCAGCCTCATCCACTTCACCAATCTCACTCATTCACTCACTAACTCACCCACCTCATCCACCTAATCTCCCTCATCACTCAACTAACTCACCCACTCATCCACAAAAATACTCCCTCATTCACTAACTCACCACCCTCATCCACTCATCCACTAATCTCCCTCATTCACTCACCAAACTTCACCCACCTCATCCACTCATCCATCTCCCTCATTCACTCACTAACTCACCCACCTCATCCACTGCATCACATCTCCCTCATTCATAACCTCACCCACCTCATTCCACTCATCCATCTCCTTCATTCACTCACTAACTCACCTCCATCCATCCCTACCACCCTCCTCATCTTTTCTCACTCCAAACTCATCCATCTCCCTCATTCAACTCACTAATTACACCTACCTCATCCACTCATCCATCTACCCTCATTTCACTTAACTCACCAACTTCATCCACTACATCCATCTCCCTCATTCACTCACTAACTCACCCACCTCATCCACTCATCCATTCTCCCTCATTCACTCACTAAACTCACCCACCTCTCCACTTCAACCAATCTCCTCATTCACTAACTCACCCACCTCATCCAGCTCATCCTCTCCTCATTCACTCACTAACTCACCCACCTCCATCCACTCACAAGTCATCCATCTCCCCATCATTCACTCACTAACTCAGATCCACCTCATCCATCTCCCTCATTGCCCACTCATCCATCTCCCTCATTCACTCGACTAAACTCATCCATCTCCCTCATTTCAGCCACTCACCCACCTCATCCACTCATCCATCTCCTGATCAGTTAACGCATTCACTAACTCACCCACCTCAATTCACTCATCCACCCATCACTAGTCTCCCTCATTCACTAACTCACCCACCTCATCCACTCATCCGGCGATAAGGCCCCATAATTTCTCGGCCATCGCATCCGTCTCAACTTCTCCCAACAGATCTCCAGCGACGACGCGATAAAATCTTTGCAATTATGGGTCTTTTCTCCTCTTCTCTGGCGTCTCCTGGCTCCTTCTTTCTCGCCTGCTTCTCTTTCTTCCCTTTCTTTCGTGCTGGTTTGTCTTGTGGTTTTAGTTTTGGTGGTCTGATCTCTCTTTCTTCGATTTCCTCTCTGTTCTCATCTCGTTTTCTCTCTGTCTTTCTCTCTCTTTTTTCGTTCTCTCTCTCATCCTCGGTCTCCTCTTTCTTCTCCTCGTTCCTCACTGTCTTCTTTCTGCTCTCTTTTTTCCGTTCTCTCTCTTATTCTCGTCTCTTTCTCTCTCGTTATCTATCTCTCCTTCCTCTCAATCCCTCCCTCTCCCTCCCTCTCCCTCCCTCTCCTCCCTCTCCTGCCCCTCTCCTCCCTCTCTCTCCCCTCGTCTCTCCTCTCTCTCACTCTCGATCTCCACCTCTCTTCCCCTCTCTGCTCCCTCTCTCTCCCCTCTCTCATCGCCATATCTCTCCCTCTCTCTCCCCTCTCTCTCCCCTCTCTCATCCTCTCCTCCCTCTCCTCTCCCTCTCTCCCTCTCCTCCCTCTCCTCCCTCTTCCCTCCTCTCCCTCTCATCATCTCCCTCTCTTCCCTCTCTCTCCCTCTCTCTCCCTCCTCTCCCCTCTCTCTCCCCTCTCTCTCCCTCTTCTCCCTCTCTCTCCGTCTCTTCTCTCACTCTCTCTCTCGCCTCTCTCTCTATCCCCTCTCTCTCTCACTCTCTCTCTCCTCGTCTCTCTCTCTCCTCTCCTCTCCTCCCTCTCTCTCTCCCTCTCTCTCTTCGCCCTCTCTCTCCTCCCTCTCTCTCTCTCTCTCTCTCACCCTCTGCTCTCCCCTCTCCCTCTCCCTCTCCCTCTCCCTCTCCCCTCTCGCTCTCCCTCTCCTCTCCCTCTCCAATCTCCCTCATCTCCTATTCTATACTCTATCTCTATCTCTATCTCTATCTATATTCTCTATCTCCTATCTCTATCTCTATCTCTATCTCCTATCTCTATCTCTATCTCTATCTCTATCTCTATCTCTATCTCTATCTCCTATCTCGTATCTCTATCTCTATGCTCTATCTCTATCTCTATCTCTATCTCTATCTCTATCTCTCATCTCTATCTCTATCTCTATCTCTAATTCTATCTCTAATCTCTATCTCTCTCCCTCTCCCCTCTCCCTCTCTCTCCCTCTCCCTCTTCCTCTCCGCTCGTCCCCTCTCCCTCTCCCTCTTCCCTCTCCTCTCCCTCCCCTCTCCCTCCCTCTCCCCTCTCTCCCTCTCCCTCTCTCTTTCTCTTTCTCTTGTCTCTTTCTCTTCTCTTTCTCTCTCTCTCTCTCTCTCTCTCTCTCTCTCCTCCCACCCCTCCTATCTCTCCCTCTTCCCTCCCTCCTTCCCTCCCTCCCTCCCCTCTATCTATCTATCTACCCTCCCTCTCTTCTCTCCTTCCTTCCCTCTCCCTCTTCCCTCCCTATCTCTCTCCCTCCCTCCCTCCCACCTCCCTCTATCTATCTATCTCTTTCCCCCTCTCTCTCTCTCTTTATCTCCCTTTCTCCCCTGCCCTTGCACCTCCAAAGCAAGAAGCTATAAATTCCAAAGACGAATATATTACAACGGGATTCAGAGTTTTAACACAACTTTCGTTAGTTTACATAAAATTCAAAGACATTCGTTCAGCAGACATTAATATGCTTTAATTCCTTTGGTGAATATGCATACGCCGAGCGATGTAAATATGAAATAAAACGAAATGGTAAAAAAAAATAAATAGATAATTAGAATGGGTAACAGGTTGAGTAAATAAATAGTAATTGTGATTGTTTGACGAAACAGAAAGGAATTCTTGAAGTAATGAAAAGAGAGAGAGAGAGAGAGAGAGAGGGGAGAGAGAAGAGAGAGAGAGAGAGAGAGAGTGAGAGTGAGTGAGTGAAATAACAATAAAAGAAGAAGAGAAAAATGACAGAAGACCCTAGAGAAACAAAGAAGAAAGAGGGGGGAAGGAGGGAGAAGAGAAAGAAGAGAAAATAAGAGAGAAATAGAAATTCAACACGACCCAACTGAAACCGAGAATTCATTTTGATGCTCCTTCATTTTCCTCTCTCTCTCTCTCTTCTCTCTCTCTTCTCTTCTCTCTCTCCTCCCTCATTCTCTCTCTCTATCTCTCTTCTCTCCTCTCGCTCTCCCTCCATCCCTCCCCTCCCTCTCCCTCCCCTCTCCCTCTCCCTCTCCCTCTCCCTCTCTCCTCTCCCTCTCCTTCTCCTCTTCGCGTCCTCTCCCTCTCCTCTCCTCCTCTCCCTCTTCCTCCTCTCCCTCTCTTTCTCCCCTCTTCCTCTCTCTCTTCTCCCTCTCCCTCCTTCACCTCCCCCTCGCCTCTCCTCTTTCCCTCTTTCCCACATATATATAAAGAAACCCACCATGACGAGGTCTCATTGATATAAAAGAATTTTCGGAGAGAATTTCATCTGAATCGGAAATTACCTCGATTAAAATTTTTTTATCTTCTTGACTGATCTCTCTCGGTCGTAGGGGTTCATGCTGGTTCGGAAGAGGAGGAGAGGAAGAGGACGGGAGGGAGGAGAGATGGAGGGAAGAGGAAGAGGAGGAGGGGGGAGAACGGGAGGGGAGGAGGAGAGGAGAGGAGGGAGGGGAAGGAGGAAGGAAGGATGGAGAGGAAAGAAAGAGGAGGACGGGAGGGGAGGAAGGAAGAAAGAGGAAGGAGGAGGGGGACGGGGGACGGGAGGGGAAGAGGATGGAAGAGGAGAGGAGGAGGAAGAGGAGAAGAGGAGGAGGGGGAAAAGGGAGGGAGGAGGAAGGAAGAGGGGGGAGTAGAGAGTGGAAGGAAGAGAGGAAGATCAAGAAGAGGAGAAAGTGGAGAAAGAGGAATGAGGGATGGAAGAGATAGGAAGCGAGGAAGGAGAGGAGAAGAAAAGGAGGATGTGAGAGAGGAAGAGGAAAGAAGAGGAGAGGAAGGAGGGGAAAGGAAGAAAGGAAGAGGAGGAGGATTGAAAGAGGAGAGGAGGAGAAGAAGAGGAGAACCACTAACAGAGCAGAGATCACGAGAGGTTAACATTGTAAATCTGTAGGGATTGGTCTGTGTCGCTGTGTCTCTGCCTCTGAGGTCCCGCTGGCTGGGAGATGGGAGGCTGGGGGGAGGTATAGTGGAGGGGGGGGGGGCGTTTGTTGTCTGTCTGTCTGCCTTCCTAGCGTACCTACCTTTCATCTCCTTTCCCCTGCTCCACTTTCTCTTCTTCTCATCTCCTGGGTCTTTCCAATCCCTCAACTTTATATATTTTTTTATCTTCTTTCTCACGCTTTTTCCCCCATTTTTCGCTTCCCTTCTCAACTCCCTTCCTCTTTTCCTCTGCCTCCTATACTTCCCCTCTACCCTCCCACCTTCCCTCATTTCTCCTTGCCCCCTCCCAATCCCCTCCCTCTCCCCCACTTCCCCCCACCACCACCAAACCACCCAGTACCACCACCACGTCTTTACCCACTGCTCCTGATTTTCATTTTATTTTTCATTTTTCGTTCCGGTTCCCTCTTTCTATTGTTTTTCTCTTTTTGGGCACACCCTCTCCTCTCCTCGCCTTCTTTTTTTAGGTCTTCCCTTCCCCCAGTGCTTGTACTACCGCCCCCCCCTCCCACCTCTTCCGTCTCTCTCTCTTCTCTTTCATCTTTCCTCCTGCTTCCCCCCTTCTTTCTCCTCCGCTGCTTCCCTCCTTCCCCGTTCCTTATCCTCCCCTCCCTCCTACTTTAACCCCGTGTCCTTTCTCCTAGCCCTCCTTCCTCCTTCAACCTTCCCATGCCTCTTCCCCTCTCCCTCCCCTCACTCACTTTCCTCACCCTACCCCTCTCCTCCCTCCTTCCCTCCCATCCCCCTCCTTCCTCCTTTTCGCTTCTCCCTCTCCCCCCCTCCCCTCCCCTCCCTTCCTCTCCTCCTCACTACCCTCCCTCCACCTCCTTCCTCCTCCTCACCCTTCCTCCTCTCTCCCTCCCATCCCACCCTTCCTTCCCCCTCCTCCCTCTCTTCCTCTCCTCCATCCAACCCTCCCACCCTTCCTTCCCCCATCCCCGTCCCGTTCTTCCCCTCCCTCTTTCCTCCATCTTCTCCCTCTCCCCCCTCACCTTCCTCCCTCCCCCTCCTTCCTCCTCTCTCCTCCTTCCTACCGTCACCCCTCCACCTCCTTCCTCTCCCTCACCTCCCTTCC